TCTATCTGATATTTTTGTTATTTTCGTGAAACTATCTCGCGACAGAGAATTCTAAAAATAGTAAGAAATTTACATGTAAGTACTACCCTGTTCTTAGGAAATTCTGCATTCCTAACACGTCTGCTAAAGAGTATTGCTAAAGAGAACAGGAAAAGGAAACATTCGACATTCCAAATAATAAATTCCAGTCCTTCCTCTCAATGTAGTTTTGACTTTCTAAAAGACATACACACGTACTGATTGCAAGTGAAAACTCCTTTAACACGAATGAATCAAACGAATGTTAGAAATTCGACAGGTGAACGTCACAGTTTGATTAATCATTTATTTCATTCGCGATTTCTTTACGATCCAACTAGACATTTCCCAAAAATTGAACTAAACTAATTGGGAAAATGGCAAACTATAATTAAAACATAGGGAAAATTGGACTGAACGTAAGCTTTCTTCTTCTAAATGCTTGAAATAGGAATTAAGGATTGTAGGAATTATTGAATGACTTCACAGAAATTAATAGCAATTAAATGGTAATTCGTAACAGAATTGGGGAAAAAACTTTTAATTTTTTGTTAGAATTATTTAGTAGCGTTTGCTTTGCATAAGAATGATACACAAGAAACAGGTAATTAGTTAGTCTTTTAACATCGATTGTCAGCTACAATGTATGCCCCATTGAAAAATGTTTCTTTTGGTAGCAATTAAATCATACTACCATAGAAATGAATTATTATTACTTATAACTTATTAGAATATGAGCAGATATAGAATTAGACTAAGCATTGATTGTAAGAAGTAACCGGAAGTCATCCTTAAGCCGCCGTAAGACAGGAGGATTAGGAATAATAAATAGAATAAATATAGAAATGAATTAAAAAAGCAGACTGAGTCATATCAGCATTTTAGAAATTATTTCAACCTATTATGGTACCATTTTCTTACATATGTATCATTTAGATGAGATTTAGATACGAAATGTTTAGAAAGTGATACAAAACTAAGGTATACGTTAAAAATATGTTTAAAAACTTGATTATTTAAAAATTTGACAATACTGTTAATTTCTTTCATTACTTCTTTGTTAGGTGTGCAAATGAATTCTTTCTGGATTCACATAATTTATTCAAACCCATCAAATTTCTATATATAGTTATCTAATAATGGAAATTATTCGGACGTGTGATCTTATTTCATTTTTTTTTTTTTTTTAAATAAAATTTTGATTCTACCCAAAAGTTGGAAAGAATTCATTTCTGCACCTGATACATACGAATCCATACTATATTAAAATCCTGTTACTTTGCGAAGTAACGTTTCTATACTTCAATAACGTTATTAGCTGAATTCTAATAATTAAGTGTAATTCACTATTTTATCGTAATAGTAGTTATTATTTATATAATTTCGTATTTGATGGTAATAGCAATTATTTGTTAGTAATCGTCGTTTAGTAATTAATAGTAATCTTAGCAGTGAATGAGTTTATTTAATAATTATCAGCAATGAATTATACTTAATTGCTTAAAGTTTCTTAAAAAATTCTTATTTCCGTTTATAGCACATTTCTCCCAACATTCAATGAAAATCGTCATTATTGAAAAAGAACAAATTGAAAAGAAAATAAATAGAATAGTATGAAATATAGACAATCATATTTTTCACTTAAACATGTTTTTCATATTTGCAATTGTGTCTGTTACAGTTCAATTTTGTTGGGAGAATTCTTGGACCACGTGGAATGACAGCCAAACAATTGGAGCAAGAAACAGGATGTAAAATTATGGTTAGGGGAAAAGGTTCTATGAGGGATAAGAAAAAGGTAAAGTGTTTTACTATTTGCGTATAAATTTTCTCGAAAGTTACTAAATCGTATATCGTGATTTTTCATTCATTATTAGGTTCTAGATTTCTAATTTTCCACAATATTTTCTACTGATGATATCGCTCCACAATTAGCCCCCAAGAAATTTTAATCAAATTTAAACAGATAAATCTAGATGCTTTATGGAAACTTAACGATCTGAAGTTAAAGAAAATTCTACTTACTAATGTATGAAATTTATGTTAGGAGTCTTTTTTTTAATTAAAATATTTTCGATTATTTTACAAGATTTTTAATTATTCCATTTTGTATATTTTTTTGGTCGTAAACTATTCGTATTTTTATACATATTCTTCGTTTAAACAAATAATAGTCGGTAAAAGTTTGTGAAACAACTGTCGTAAGGAAACAACGCTATCTAATTTTCTTTATTAATTGTGCAATGAATATTTGAAAACGTTATCATGGAGCATATTCGGAGAATCATTATTTGAATTGAAATTAATGCTTATCTATAGTCGAAATTTTCTAATTAATGCATTTTTCATCATCCGTAACATTTATTACAATTATATGTAAATGTAGTCCTTTCTCTTCTGTCTTGCAAGAAACCTTTCCTTGTTAAAACTTATACAATATACAGGACTCTGCAGGTGATTACCTGAAACTTTATAGTTTTTTGTTGCTCTTAAAACATTTATATATATACACTACCGGCCAAATGTTTGGAATCACTGTGCATTACAAGTTATACAAAAATTTCTAGAATAAAGTTAGCAATTTTAAGAATATTTTAACCAACTTTTCCTCGCTCAAATCAATCGAAATAAGGTAAAATACTATCGATCTCCGCAACATCAATTTCAAATCTATAAAAAATTAGCAGCGGATTCAATTTTACCGTAAATTAGCAGGTGATTCGAAACTTTTGGCCGGTAGTGTATATATATATTGTCGTAAGAATTTTTGTTTACTGGTGTGAAATCATAATACTGCATATACTCTGTTCAAAGGAATTTTGTAATTTACTTTGTTTGCGTGATTGATTGTTTCGACAAAATTTATACATTTTCAATTAAAGGGCAATTTCATTTCTCCATTTTCAAAGGTTCTCCTCGACAGCAAACATATTACAGTAAAATATGTCGTAATTTGATAAAGCAACGCAAACAGAATGCAAGAAACGAGTAACACTTTCTATCTTTTTATTAACTTATGTAATTTTCGGTTCCTCTTCTCATATACACAGTAATGTGTTTGTGTTTAAGAAAATGTTACAGCGGTTTGATAGAATAAACTGGTTATTTTCGTGCAAGTGTTAGAAATACACTACTTCGTCATTTGTTTCGTTACAATAATCGTACAAAACAAGTTATGCGATTGTTCGAGGTTTCATAAGGAAGCAATTTTTCTACTTTCTTAATGTAATACACCCTTCTTCTGCATATATCTTCTTTTCTTCTATACTGAAATACGTTACTGAGTTGACGAACATTTGTGTCTGCAACCAATGTTTATTCACACGTGGAAAACTTCAATGTTAAATTTTTTAATTATTCTAAAACAATCTTTAAAATGTATCGCTTAATCTTGACATTATTCGTGCAACTCTTCGTTTCTTATTGTGCCGATTGGAAAGAATTGATAATAATGTATTGTCTAAGTACAGCAACAGAAAATTTTACACTGAAACGAAAAATTTGTATTACCTTTGCTAAGTAAAGTATTTTTTTTCAAGCTGCGTGTGATGAATGAGACAAAATTTTATCGTAAGTACACACGTAAAAGCTATGATATCAATGTAAAAGGTTTATGTTCATATTTCCTGTGTTTAACTGCACTTTTAAAATATCTGCAAACGTATTACATTTTATATAGTATATCCTGCATAAGTTCGAATTTATTCGGTTGATTAGTACCTCTGTTCTTTTTTTTTTTTTTTTTTATTCGTGATTAAATAGACGCATGCGAACGTTGGTCTTACACTTAAAAGTATTATACAGCAACATTAATATGCAAATATATAAAGTATAATAATATAGAGAAACCAGTAATAGCGCGCGCTGTATTCACACACAGACAAAAAATATTGTAATATTGATCCAAGAATTTGTTATTAATGTAATATTAGGTCACTCCGTAAATTCGCGCCGAAGGCGAAAAGTATTTTTAATGAAAATCCAAGGAAATATTCTATAGTGACGACGTAGTGGTATTAATAAAAACAAAATAGGAAAAAGTTGTTGAATTAAAGGGTACTTACGTTTTCTTTCTTTCTATCAAATTTAGAGGTTCTTTGGAAATATTAGTCTAAATTATAAAATTCGACGCGAACTTATGAGATGACTTAATATATGTTATCATACATGCAATATCTATTGTATGTGTATGATGAACGATATACTGTATATCATTATATTAATGATTCATATAATCGTAGTATGAAATTTGTTCTACAATGAAATACACGTTATACGAGTTATATTAAACTTGATGTGATTTCCTTTATCAGGAAGAGTTAAACCGAGGTAAACCAAACTGGGAACATCTGACAGATGAACTGCATGTTTTACTAACAGTTGAAGATACTGAGAATCGTGCCACCTTGAAACTTGCCAGAGCTGTAGAAGAAGTCAAGAAACTTCTTGTTCCCGTGGTGAGAAAGTTCCTATTATTAACTATTATAAACAATGTTACAGTGATACTTTTCCTTTACTTTCAGTTTTTCATTAGTTCATTTCTTACTGCTAAATTTTCTTCCCATACTTGCAACTAAATGTTACTTATCCCGTGTAGACTAAAATGGCAAGTAGATGATAAATATAAACAGTTCAGTTTTCAAAATACAGGAAGATATACTGTACTGTGTATAATAGTACTACAGTAGAATAATTTATGATTTTACAACTGATGTTGATAAAATTACAAAATTTTGTTTGCTTTTGCTTTGAAATGTTCATTTCGTATTTCCAAGGATGCAGGCATCGAATCTGTCGTTGCATACTACCGCGAAAAGAGGATAGATTTGAAATTACTAGTGTACTTCATGTAAACATCCAAATTATTCGAGAATCTAAAAGAAAAAATTATTATTTTTCACATTATCACGCTTCGTTTGAAAAATATTAATACATGTTTTATGAACCATGTCGAATGTTAGCAGGCTGATGGAGAAGATGAATTGAAGAAACGACAATTAATGGAACTTGCTATTATCAACGGTACATATCGGGATTCCAACACGAAAGTTGCTGCAGCTACAGGTATACATATTAGAATTTTCTTCCACGATAGAATAACAGACTTTTCTATCACGGAAATCTTCAAATTTTTAATATGTTATTGTGCGTATGAGTTGTATATATTTATAATTTAATAATATGTATGCCAATATAATGAATGAATATTTTTCTAAATTATCCACCGAAACATTTTCAAATGCACTTCGTCATTTTTACGTTTCAAGCTAGATTTAGAATTTATCGAATGATAATGAATCAGCTGGAATCTCAATCCGGAATACCAGAATTGGTTAAAATTGAAAAGTTTCGCAGGGTAAAACAGAATAGCATTCGTAGTTGGAATATTGTACGTTAGTTTCTCTCTTTTTTTTGCAAATGATAATAAAAATACAAATAATTCGAATGTTTCAGCTTGCGATGAAGAATGGAGACGTGTAGCAGCAGCCGCGGCAGAAACTCAGCGACTTCTTCCGGGCTTAGCCACACCTATGAGGACACCAAGTGCTCCGTTGGGAGCACCGTTAATACTCTCGCCACGGATATCTGTTCCAACGACCGCGGCGTCTCTTCTGAACGGTTCAGGCCCACCAGGATCTCTACTTTCTGCCGGTGATCCTCATGGGTTAATTTACACGCCATACGCCGATTACGCCAACTACGCAGCCTTGGCAGCCTCGCCTCTTCTCACGGATTACACCACTACTGATCATTCTGGTGGGTTGTTTGCTCGCTGATCTTAGTTGCAACACCGTTTTTCATGAATATTTTCTTTTATTATTATTATTATTCTTATTACCATTATTACTATTATTATTGCTATTATTATTATTGTTATTATTATTATTATGATTATGATTATTACCATTACCATTATTATACTACACTATCATCATCATCATTATTATTTTCTTTATTATTATCGATGTTGATATTATAATGATTATTATCTCTTATTAGCAATATTATTGATATTATTGATGTTTTCATGTTATCATTATTGCACACAATTACCATTTTTGAGTTTTATTATTGTTAGCATAATCATACTTTTCATCGTCTCATCATGATCGTCATTGTCATGTTCATCATTCAAAATTGTTATTATTAGCAGAGCAATAGAAGCATAATAATGGTTGACATGAAGGTCGTAAGGATTTTAATATTGACATACGACAATTATTAAAAACGTGGAAACTCGATTACATTTCAGGTAATAATATAAGCTGGTATTATTTTTATTGACATTGAATGTTTATATTAAGAGAATTACATCAGTCATTTACTAGTCGTATCAGTTTTGATAATTATTTAACGATGATTATATTCAATGTTATTGTAACGCGCATTTCTGAAACAACCGCCAGTAGCAAATAATAGAGGTATTTGACGTAATATACGTATCGTGATGGGGAAAATCGGAGGAATTCCACAGAAAGAATTAGCGTATTTGGATAGATAAAGGAAAAGATGCTGAACGTGTAAAATTATACAATTTGTGCCGCATCTCATACTTATGTTAGTCAAAACGATATTCAGACAGGAAAGGTATTAGATTTCATAAGGAAAAATTCGTATATCTAAAACTTTCACATTAACCGTTTTATAAATATTCGAAAGAATTTTTCAGAATAATTTTTTTAGACATACAAATTAATATACGTGGTTCTATATGTATATTTGAAGTAACAACGTTACTTATTTATTACAAATCATGCGACTCATGATTGTTTTCCCTTTTATTATCGATAAGCAAAGATTATTCTTGAAAAGGTTTATATGTTGTACGTTGTTAAATTTTTACTGTTAGAGTCTTTATATTGTTAAATAGAATTACAAAAGTTATTCGTAATAATTACGAGATTATCGACATACATTTTATCAGACAACGGTATAATTTATCGTGTTTGTTTTATGCAATTGTTCGTCGTAGTAGTATTCGAAATGTGCTTGATTCGTATTCACTGGAGATTTTCTTTAAATAATTTAATACCTTTGTTACGTATATTTGACTTTTGTCAATCGTTTTAGAACGAACAAGATTTCAATGCATGCAGTATTCAAGTTCTTATGCGATCAATAGAAATAATCGATTCGCATGATGGAAATGTGTATATGTATATACACACACACACACACACGTACCGATAAAAAGGAAGATGAATCTCCTTTTTATGAATGAAATACTCGGTTATCGTATGATAAATCGTACATTTATACATTCGTTACCATTTACTATACATAGTATGGATCATCAATGTGTTCAGTAGGTATGGTATGTTTGAAAAATGAAGGACACCCGGTGTAACGTTAATTTCATTTTATTTTTAATAGATTTATTTACATAAATACGTACACGGACAAAATGATTATGTTAAAGGGAATATTGCTTCACTATATTTCACTATTCGTACAACTGCACTATTAATAAGTTATATATTTATATTTCATTTAAATAATTATTATTTATTATTAGTTTTCGTTTCATTGAAATTCTTGTATTATATTTACTATGGTGCTGCTATTGCATTTAATATAATAAACAAATATTTGTTAAATACAAAAATTGTTTGTTAATGATGGTATATTTTATTTAAAAACAAAATTAACTTAAATTTTACTTACGAAATTGAGTATTTACTAATATATGAAGTATTAAAATGCAATATTAATATATCTATTGATATTCTTCATTTAGCATACATATATAAAAGTCTGACAATTTTACTTAAAAGAACAAAAACACGTTATGTCCAATATTTTAAATAGACTTTGTAGAATTCGCAAGAACAAATATTACAGACCCGTATGTAAGTAATTGATAAATAAACCTACTTCGATTTGTAAGGGTAAATAATGTCATATATCTTGAAAATTATGACCAGTAATACATACGGCAAATATCGTGGAAAGCTATACCAATTAAATTTCTATGAAAAGTAGTACAGATCTGAATATTCAAACATATTCCAAGATATTTATATACATTTTGTAACTAAGATCAAAATATTTACTTCCCTACTTATTGCTTTAAATTGATACTTAATTTTCAAAGTAGAGAGTGTTTACTTATAATACTCATTACTTCATTTCACGTAATTAAAAACGATTTTCATCTTTCAAACATACCACGTCTTATGACATATTTCATATTCTATTTGTATTATTATTTAAAAGGACATAAAGAAGTGAATGTGCACGCGTCATTACGTCCGTATGTCCGAATCTCTGGTGCATTGCCATATTGATTACATATTTAATGAAATAATCAAATATTATTTATTGTTAAAATTTTAATATAAATTCCTCGATAGAACAAACGTTAAACGTATTTTTGTTCTAAATTAAAAAATATTATTTTTAAACTGAAATCTTTTAACTCTGTTCATTTGCACATATATCATGTGCGTGTATCTAATTATGATATGTTGAACGTTTACAACATTATCATTAAATATGATGAATTGATGCAATGTATCCATTACAATAAAAATGGATATACTATATATGTCATTTTTTTTTAGAAGCAATTCTACTAGAATAAGAAATTACACTAGTCTGGGTTTTCACTGCATATCTACATGCAATTAAAATTAAACAAGCTTAACATTGTAGCTTATTCTTTAGCTGTAACATAAAAGCCTTAACATACAAAGAGGTTTAGTTTATCTATATATCCTATTACTAATTTTGATTCATTAGAATCTTTTTGTTGTAACCTGAGCAATAAAGGCACATTTGCCTCATCATGAAATAACTCCTAATATTTTCAACATTGGTACAGACACATCAAATTGATCTCCTACATCTTTCCCCACATACCAGTTATTAGAACATGTCACTGTTCAGAAGCTCTTGTGTATTACACAAACAGTGTCATCTAAGTTACTCGAAGAACCACTTGAGAATTCTTCAGAAAAAAAGTGATGTGTCCAATGTTAGAAGCTTAATTACTTTTTCATGACATTCTGTAATGCCTGATTGCTTCTTATTGACCTCTGGAGAGATCTGTTCTGACGTCTTGATTGATCAGTTCTAAATGACTATTCTGTTCTAAACCTACTCTCTTGCTAAATTCTAAAAATCGTTGTCTTCTCCCAAGGAGCTCTTGAAAGGTTTTAGGGCATGTGTGACGGCGTAAAAACTTAAAATCGGAAGGACAGGGTTCTAGGGGTCTAAACTCTAAACATCAATTAGTGAGAAATAATTTAGTTGCTGTCACGTCCTCTTATCGAATCCTCATTGCAAAACATAAAAGTCAGACTTTGGTATTTCTCTGTAACTGTGCTTTCTGATGAAATTTGGTCTGCCTCTGACTTTGTAAAGGCTATATGTTGAATGGATCTAGAGCTAACTGGATAACTCTGTGTGTCCATATTAGGACCCGTGATTGAAAATGCTGGTAACCTAAAAGCTAAATGAACTCCACATCCAATACATAAAAAATAAATAAAGAACTTTAATTCTCTAAAATAGGTGCATATGTTTAGATGTGAAAGCAACGTTATAAAGTTTATTGCATGTAGAATGTTCGTGTATACGGGGAAGTAAAAAAGAAAAGGGGAAGAAGACAAAAACATTTCAATTAAAAAAACCAAAAAAAAAAAAGGAGGATAATTTAATACAGCTTCTTCCCAGGCGAAGTTCGTTAAAACATCGGAAAGTGATTCAAAACGTTGTCGGAATCATGTGATTTGTGTTAGTATTTATTATAAATGTGTCTAATTATCGCTCCGATTGTTACGAGGAATTTGCTTATTTCCAGTGGTGAAATATTTCAAGGCTTTTTACAAGATATAAATAACTTTAAAAGTTACATTCGCATTTGGAAAATGAAAATATCTTAAGCCAAAAGTAAGGTCGCTCCTTAAAGTTGTGCACGATATTATTATTTATTTAATTTTTACATTATAAATAAATAAAAATTAAATGTACGCTTATTAAATTTATGCAAAATCTAGTGTACAAAAGTTTGGAATAACTTATGAATGCACACCTGTGTTTCCAGTTCTATTGCTCCATACCAAGGATTTATTAAAATTATATAAAGTAGAAAATAGAGTATTTTACGGAAATATTTTCAAATATTTTTACAGTTTGTCATTACTTTCAATTACTTGCCGTGCTTCTATTCTTTCTTGTGCAAGTACGAAATTGTAAAATTATATTAAAATTGATAGGACGGATGTTCCGCAGTGATCGGAAAATGATTTGATAATTAATTTTATACAGGATGAATTACCTAAGACGAGCCCTTGAATAACTCTTTCAATTTTAGAGATATGGAGAAATGTTTGATACAAAAGTTATTTGGTTCCATGCATAGAAGAGTTGAATGCCACGTTCTTTTTAAATGGAACCATGTATTTTTGAACACCTACGATTGTTTGGGATAATAATGGGCGAAAATTGAAAACTCGTGGTAAATGCTTCTGAAACAGAGTATTCTCGGCTTTATTAACAGAGTCGTACTGAATAAATTCGAAATGTAAACAAACTTTGTCGAGGCACTTATCATTAAAATCCTCAATTGTGTAAACAGTAGTATGAATAGAGTAAACTAATATTAGGTTTCTAATGATAAATATCCTTAACACTGCCATTAGTCTAAATTGTGACATGAGAATCAGATTGCTTTTTATGAAGCATTTAAAAGAAGAAAAAACTGATATTCTTTTGATTTCCGGTGAAACTGGCCAATGTATGAGGCAATCACG